TTCTCAAGTTATGCACCAGCATGAAGCTAGAATCTGGGACTTGAACCCAGGACCTCTGGAATGTGATGTGAGTCCTAAGCAGTATCTTAACCACTGCAACAAATGCCTGCTTTTTGTCACCACAATTATTAAAGAGCAAACCAAACCAAAATGGTTGAGTCACAGCACACCTAGCACAAGAATAGCAAAGCAAGAATCTAGGGGCTTCGCATTAGGAAAGCATATCCTTTGAATCAGAAAAGCCTTAGAATGTACCAGATTCAAGCCTTAACTGGCATAGGAGTTCTCTTTGCTGCTTCCCCAGGATGAGTGCCCAGCCTCTGCCTACGCATACTCAGTCAGGACATTAGTGTCTCTACAACCCACAAACTCTCTATCCCAAGCCCTGAATTTTGGGGTGGTCACAGGGGCACTTCAATAGAAGGTGGGATGGTAAAAAGCTAGTTGGCGGCAGAAGAGCTTGAAAGCAGATCATATAACCCATTTAGCAGCTGGGATCAGGGATAGGGGCTAAAATGTTTTCCACAGACTCCTATTATTGGTTGCTTTGTTATCTGTACTATATATGCTATCTTTGTACATGTGCAGCTGAAGGGGTACACCCAAAGCATTTTCTCTCCAGAAGCAGTCAGCTGGACCCTTGGCAGCACTCTTGGCTGACAGCTTTGCTGGAAGGTGGAGACCAGGGATTCACTGATAACTGACACTGGAGGATCTTGTCAGGATGAGGCAAGACCTCAAGGAGAAGATGGCTAGAGAAAGAGCAAACTGGTGTGGGAACTAAATAGCCAGTGTTTTCCACTGAAAAGGTAGGAAAAAAAAAAAAACCCAAAACACGGTAATAGTTGCCTAGCTGCCATTTTATTTATTTTAGGATTTCATCAGAAAAAAAAAAGCCACTCAGACTGAGTAAACTCAAAGGAGGCTGAATTTTTGTAGCTTTGCGGTAGGTGAATAACATCTTTCAGTCAAACATCCTTCAGCCAGATTAGAGTCAGGAACCTAGAACTCAGTCTATGTCTCCCATGTGGGTGAGTGGAGACTCAAGTATTTGTATTACCCCTGCATCCCAGGGTGCACATTAGGAGGAAACTGAAATCAGAAGTGGAGCCAAGACTCAAAAATCCAGATACTTGAGTATGGGATGTGAATATCCCAAGTGGAATTTTGTTACTTTTCCTAAAAAGATGTACTTATTCATTTATTTGAAAGTCAGAGTTTTAGAGAGAGACAGACATATTGAGAGAAAGAGAAATCCTCCATTTGTTGGATTACTCTGCAATTGGCTACAACAGTCACAACTGGCTCACAGCAAATCTAGGAGCCAGGAGCTTCATTCACATTTCCCATATGGGTGGCAGAGGCCCAAGGATTTGGGCCATCATCTACTGCTTTCCCACATTATCATATCAGAAGTGGTGCAGCCAGAATGTGAACCGGTGTCAATATGAGAAGCTGCTATTGCAGGTAACAACCTCAGTTGCTATGCTACTATGCCTCTCTCTCTTCCCATTCTCCAGTGGCATTTTTAACCTCCATAACAATGCCCCAAAGTAGAAGCGAGATTTTAGGTCAGAAGAATGAATGACTATTAAAAGATGCTAAGTTGGGTGTTTGGTTAAGATGTCAATTGGAATGCCTGCATCCTGTATCAGAATGTTTGGGTTTCAGTCCCTGGATTTAGTGTTGTACAGTCATTTAGGGTGCTCTAGCAGAGGGGAACCTTGTCTGTTTCTCTCTAACTCTCAAATAAATTCTCAAAAACCACGCAAGCAAGAAGACAGGACTGAGTATTAAAGCATTTTTTAAAGATGCTGCCATAGTCTGGATATCTGTGATCCACTCTACTCCCTATGTTGAAATCTCAACACTCAAGGTGATGGTAACAGGAGAGGACCCTTAGGAAGGTGACTGGATAAGTCCTAATGTATGGGTAAGTGCCCTTACAAAACAGGTCCAACAGAATTGGTTACGGACACAGGGACAGACGTCATCTATGAACCTGAACTTGAGCCCTCACCAGGCACCAAAACTACTGGCACCTTGGATACGATCTTGAGCATCCCATGGCATTTTCTTGTACCAATTTAAACAAAAAGGACCAAATACACCAAGTTTTCTTTACTTCCTTCCCCGTTTACCTGTTTTCCCACTCATATTCAGGAGCACTTTTCTAAGAGGTTCATGTCCCAGTTGCTCCACTTCCCATCCAGCTCCCTGCTTGTGGCCTGGAGAAGCAGTAGAGGATGGCCTAAAGCTCTGGGACCCTGCACCAGATCGGATTGGCTCAGCTCCAGTCATTGCAGCCATTTAGGGAGAGAACCAGTGGATGGAAGATCTTTCTATCTCCTTCTCTCTGTAAATCTGACTCTCTAATAAAAATAAATTAATTTCAAATTTGCAGAGATAAGGAGAGACAGAGAAAGATCAAGATCTTCCACTGGTTCTCTCCCCAAGCGGTCACAACAGCTAGAGCTGAGCTGATCCTAAGCCAGGAGCCAGGAGCTTCTTCCTGGTCTCTTACGTAGGTGCAAGGGCCTATGCACTTGGGCTGTCATCCACGCTTTCCCAGGCCACAGGCAAGGAGCTGGGTCAGAAGTGGAACAACTGGGACACAAACCGGTACCCCTATGAGATGTGGGCACTTGTGGAGGGAGTTTAGCCTGTTGAACCACTACATCTGCCCCATTATTTTCCTTTTCCACTCACATGAGTGAAGTGGCTCTGATGGATAAAGAATGCTTACTTATATGTTCTTGTGTACAATAATTTATCAATTTTAATTTCTAGACTGATAAATATCAGTACAGATAGCTCTTTTGGATCTAATTTTTTAAAGTTATGGGGGGGAAGGTCAGTGTTGTAGAGTAGTGGGCAGAGTCACTACCTGCAATGCCAGCATCCCATATGGGCAGCAGTTTAAAACTCAGTTTAAAAAAAAATGCTCTACTTCCAATCCAGTTCCCTGCTAATGCAGCCACAATGGCCAGAGCTAAGCCTATCAAAGCCAGGAGCCAGGAGCTTCTGGGTCTCCCACATAGGTTCACGGTCCCAAGGCTTTGGACCATCCTTGACTGTTTTCCCAGGCCACAAACAGGGAGCCAGATGGGAAGTGGAACAAATGGGACACAAACTGGTGCCTATATAATATCCCGGCAGGTTCAAGGCAAGAACTATAGCCATTAGGTTACTGTGCCAGGCCCCTAAGTAATTTTAAAATATTACTCATTTTTTAGAAGATTTTAAAAAAAATTACTTAAAAGACAGTTGCAGAGAAAGGAAGAGAGACAGAATCTTCGATCCATTGGTTTACTTTCCAAATAGCTATAATGGCCAGGGCTGCGTTGGGCCAAAGTCAGCAGTCAGGAGCTTCTTACAAGTCTGCCACACGAGTTCAAGGACCCAAGCATATGAACCATCTTCCACTGCTTTCTCAGGGACACTAGGAGGGAGCTGGATCAGAAATGTAACAGCCTGGGCCCGGTGCCGTGGCCAAGTAGCTAAAGTCCTTGCCTTGAACACACCAGGATCCCATATGGGCGCCGGTTCTAGTCCCAGCAGCTCCACTTCCCATCCAGCTCCCTGCTTGTGACCTGCAAAAGCAGTCAAGGACGGCCCAAGACTTTGGGATCCTGCACCTGCGTGGGAGACCTGGGGGAAGTTTCTGGCTCCTGGCTCCGGATCGGTACATCACTGGCCGTTGAGGTTACTTGGGGAGTGAATCATTGGACGGAAGATCTTCCTCTCTGTATATCTGACTTTGTAATAAAAATAAATAAATCTTTTTTAAAAAAATAAGGAGATGTATTTTTACAAAAATTCTTATTAGACACAGTAAAAGAAGCTAAAGGAAAAAATATTAAAAGGCTGGTAATACTATAGTTAAATTCTATAAGCACAATGCTTAAATTAAGAATCATCACCTTGACTTCAAAAGCTCTAGCTTCATCCCTTTTGCTATTGCATGGGTCTAGTGGGAATAAGGACCTTATCATTACCCACCAGTCCCTATTCCTAGTGATAACAGTTAGACCACAGTCCTTGTGACATTTACAGCCTTTTCATTGGCTAGCCACTGCTCACCCTCTCTACACTCGCACACTCACAATATGCTGAAGCAGATTCTCTGGTTAAGAGGTGAAAATGGACTATTTCTCAACCTCTAGCTTCTGTGTTGTGCTTTGAGTTGCTTTGGACAATGGGACACTCACAGGCTTGATGCAAACACAAATCACTCGCATGTTTTTGGGTGCTCTCTTGCTGTGTTTGTTATTCTGAGAGCTCCACATGAACAGGAATAGGCTGCTGAGGGATTAGAGGTATGCAGATAACAACAGAGGTGCTCCAGTAGTGGCCACACTCTCAAGAACAGGCTTGTGGAGGAGGCTATCCAAGGCCTGGTCAGCCTGCCAGGCAACCTGGCAATGGACTTGCAGATATTTCCATGCGAGCCAGTCTAAGCCAACCTACAGAATCAAGAATTAAATAAATGCTTACTGTCTTCAGCTGTATGTTTTAGGATGGTTTTAGTGCAGTATAAAGGCTAACATATAATGGATATTTTATTTGGAACTACTGGATGACACATTTAGTGTTAGGGAAATGATTCTCTCTGGGCTTAATTCTATCATGAGTGCTTTCTGGTGCTAACTGTTCCTCTTCTGTACTTCAAGGAAAACTTTTTCTACTTCAAGCAAAACAATACTTTCATTAATGTTAGCAGTAATCCTGTGTCAAATATATGTACATTATAATTTTCACATAATTTTTTTTTATCTTTTCAACAATTCCATCAGATCCTATTATAAAGGATGGCATTCTAACACATTCTTTTAAAACAAGATAGTAATAAAAGTTAAATGCTTTTTAAAAATCCTCCTACATGTCTCATATATCAGGCATCGTAATTGTTGCAAGAGGCAGGATGGTCCCTTTTTACTCGTTCTCACCCAATAACTGTCAGTCTTCTGCAGCACTTGGCAGGAAGATTCCTGGCTTACCTGAGATTTGAAGTAAGTTTCCTGTGGGGTGGCAAGTACATCTGCAGATGCAATGTCTAAATGCATGAGTGTCTGCCGAAAAGAAGGTCGGTTGCGAGGTTTACTTTGCCTGCAAGTAAAAAACACAACTGTATTTCCAAAGTGTGTCTAAGAGGATGATGACTTTACTGAACTTTTTCAAAAAGTATTTACTCCAGATTGGCTGTATATCACACAGTTTTCACAAACTGAACAGCAAAAGGAAAATATAATTCTGAGATAACATTTCATGATGAAACGGAAACCTAGAATCAGTGAACTATTTGAATGTAATCCATAAAACTGGTAATGTAATAGTTGTTATTATTTACCAAAGCCTATTGTTTCATGATGTCCTGCCAAATTATTTTAAATTTGAAGGATATCATAAATTTTAATAAGTCAACAACAGGAGTAGGTGCTATCAGTGTTTTGCAGATGAGAAAATTGACATTTGGGTGACAGCTATCAAATCACACAGATAAAGGGCAGATTTAAATGTTTGAGCCCCATATCCTCAAATTCCACAAGCTTCTAGTATTCTCACTCCCCGGATGATTCCCTTCCAAAGACATGCCAGAGACTTCCCTGCTTTCTTAGAAAAATTTAAGGTATATTTTTGAGGAATAAGGCAAAGAGGAGGGAAGGGGAAACATTTCTTACCACGTCTGTTTCATAAGGATTTTGAAACCATCAGGGCAGGTGGAAGGAACTGGAAGGTGCAGGCTGTTGCTTCCAACACCCCAAATGATGGCTGAAGAATCAACATCTTTGTAAGGGATCTCTCCTGTTAGCAGCTCCCAAAGCACCACTCCAAAAGACCTACAATGGTACCAAGATTTTTCAGAAAGACTCATTTGTATATCCATGCCTTATTAACTCAATTAAGTATCTGTCCAATTTAAACATTCTGATACTGCTATAAGAATAACAGAGAACTCTGGAAAACCACTGGGAGGTAACGGACACCAGTAGATATTTAAATATATTGTTTTAGGGCCTTAGAGATTAACCCTGGTCACTGAATAAAAGGCCAAGCATTTGGACTGGTAAGAGTCCAGAAACATGGGACAAGTATCATGGTGTAGCTGATAAAAATACTGCCTGAGATGCTGGCACCCCACATAGGTGTCTGTTTGTGTTCTGGCTGCTCCACTTCTAATCCAGCTCCTTGCTAAAGCAGCGGATGGGCCCACCACGGTGGCGCAAGTGGTTAAGGTCCTCGCCTTGCACGCCCGGGATCCCATATGGGCACCAGTTATATCCCGGCAGCCCCGCTTCCCTTCCAGCTCCCTGCCTGTGGCCTGGGAAAGCAGTCGAGGACGGCCCAAAGCTTTGGGACCCTGCACCCATGTGGGGGACTCTGCACCCATGTGGGAGACCCTGAAGAGGCTCTTGGCTCCCAACTTTGAATTGGCATAGCTTTGACTGTTGTGCTCACTTGGGGAGTGAATCATCAGACAGAAGATCTTCCTCTCTGTCTTTCCTCTCTGTATATCTGCCTTTCCAATAAAAAAATAATAAAAATAAATCTTTAAAAAAAAAAGAAAAGAAAAGCAGTGGAAGATGGCCTAAGTGTTTGAGCCCCTGCTACCCAGATAGGAGATTCAGACGAAGCTCTTGGCTTTGGCTTCACCCAATTTTAACTGTTGTAGCCATTTAGGAAGTGAACCAATGAATGAAAGCTCTCTTAATCTCTTCCATTCTCTTTGTAGTTCTCACTCTCAAATAAATAAGAAAATCTTCAAAAAACATCAGGACATATGTAGGATATATACAGAAATTCAGTATGTTTTTATGAGAGAAATGATGTTACGAACCAGTAGGAAAAATTAATTCATCAAAAAATGTGGTTGAGACAAATGGTGAAAAATTAAATGTGTATCTCCTCCATACACCAAAACAAATTACAAATAAAGTTAGATGTGATAAGTCAAATCGTAAAAATCTTAGAAAAAAATGGAGGACATTTTCTATTTAATTTTAGATGATAAAAATTCTTTGAAGTATGAAACTTAGATGCCATAAAAGAAAAGACTGATAAATCAAATTGTATTTTAAAAATCAGAGGCACAGGGCCTGGCACAATAGCCTAGCACCTAAAGTCTTCGCCTCACAAGCGCTGGGATCCCATATGGGAACCGGTTCTAATCCCAGCAGCCCCGCTTCCCATCCAGCTCCCTGCTTGTGGCCTGGGAAACTAAGCATGGCCCAAAGTTTTGGAACCCTGCACCCACGTGAGAGGCTTCTGGCTTCAGATTGGCGCAGCTCTAGTCGTTGTGATCATTTGGGGAGTGAATCATAGGATGGAAGATCTTTCTCCCTGTTTCTCCTCCTCTCTGTTCTTCCTCCTTTCTATATATCTGACTTCTCAATAAAAATAAAACAAATCTTTTTAAAAATCAGATGCACCCAAAACAAAAACTCAAGCAAAACAACACAGGTGAAATGTCTGATATTCACTTTTATGAAAGGCCAAACTCTTTACTATACAAAACATCCATGTATTCATGAGAGTAAAGACCAGAAATCTGAGCAAAGAATGTGAATGTTCGGGCCCGGCGCTGTGGCCTAGCGGCTCAAGTCCTTGCCTTGAACATGCTGGGATCCCATATGGGTGCCGGTTCTAATCCTGGCAGCTCCACTTCCCATCCAGCTCCCTGCTTGTACCCTTGGAAAGCAGTTGAGGACAGCCCAAGACTTTGGGACCCTGCACCCATGTGGGAGACCTGGAGGAAGTTTCTGGCTCCTGGCTTCAGATCGGTGCAGCACCAGCTGTTGCGGTCACTTGGGGAGTGAATCATCAGATGAAGATCTTCCTCTCTGTCTCTCCTCCTCTCTCTATATCTGACTTTGCATTAAAAATAAAATAAATCTTAAAAAAATGTGAATGCTCATAAATAAGAAATTACAAATGTCTCTTACACATACCAAAAAATGTATAAGTTTGCTTATAAGAGAAACATAAACTGAATTATACCCGACACCATTTTTACATATATATTTGCTACAATCCATCAGCTTAACATATTTTATAGGTAAGGATGGGAAAACATACTGTATTTCTGTGAGAATTTATATTGATATAATCCCTAGGCAGGACACTTTGGTAATAATCCTAAGGGACAAATGATCCCACATTTCTATCTTTCTATCTATCCATCCATCATCTATCTATACTATTACTCAGGTTTCTCATGCAATTGTTTTAAAAAGATGTATTTGAGTGGCTGTGTTACAAAGAGAAAGAGGAGGAGAAATAGATATCTTGCATTTCCAAAATGGCTACAATGGCAGGAACTGGGATGGTCTGAAGCCAGGAGTTTCTTCCAGGTCTCCCACCTGGCTGTGGGACCCAAACATGTGCACCATCCTCTGCTGCTTTCCCGGGCCCCGTAGCAGGGAGCTGGGTCCAGCAGCCAGGACTCAAATCATCACTCATGTAGGATACGAGCATTGCAAGCAGCACTCTAATCCATTCTACCACAACACTGGCCCTTACATGCAACTTTAACATATGCTATTAGCTTGGTTTTAAGTCTGAAAGTACTATTTGACAATTTTTAGGGAGAAAAAAAAGCAACTGCAGGAAAAAAAATTGTTAATAGTAAAGACTTGTAACCTCAGAGGAAAAGCTGACAAAGATTAGCCAAAAAGAAAAACAAAACAAAACAAAACAGCATAGTTCACACGGGCTGTCCAATAAAAGGGCAATTGGCCTTATTTATGTCCCTCAGATTGGTCCAGAGCACTGAACTCTGCCCCAATAAAGTACATTATTGATTCATGACATGATGGTGTGGGTCACTGAAAACAGGTAAATGTTGTTTAATATACCTTACTAAGTAAAATGGGAATTACGTAGTACATTTCACAAAGACTTCCATACGAGAGGGCCATTTAAAGTAAACTTTGCCTTACAGAAGGTTCTGAGTATTCTCTGAGGTCTCCCAGACTGCTGACTTACTGACTGGAGAGTCACTCTAACCCCACTCTTACTCTCTCCAATGAAGTATACTGGGTTGTTCCTCAGATATTATGATGCTGAGGCTAAACAGAAGTGAGAAACACTAAAGCATATTCTGGGGAAGCAAAAGTGTTGAAGGATGAAAATGCTAAGAGGGTCAAACTGGAGAAAGGCTTTCTAACTGGCAGGAGTGATGCTACTCACCATATGTCAACCTTCTCTGAGACAGGCTCATTCCGTATCACCTCTGGCGCCATCCAAGCAACGGTGCCAGCAAAGGACATCTTGGTGCTTTTATCACTGAGTTCCTTGGATGTACCAAAATCTGAAATTTTTACTGCATCTGTGTGAGTCACTAAGACACTTTAAAAAGAAATAAAGAAAACACCCAGATCATTAGTACTAATGAAAACCATGACTCTAAATGGTAACTGAAGGTTTTGTTTACTGCCTTCTACTTTGCAGAATTCAGTCTGTAATTTCGAATATTACCAGCGCATTAGCTGTGCATTAGTGAAAGCACCATTCATACTTGTGGGGAAGCATATGTAGCAGAGTGCACGCACAACACCTGGTTTTATTCTGCCTCCACCACCTGCTAACTATGTGAATTTTTGTCAAATTAACTCTACTAAGCCATTTTTTCTCATTTGTAAAATGGAGGCAATTTAAGTCATAGTATCTGATCCACAATTCAACTGCAGAAAACTCTCAAAATGTTTCACGATTTGAAAGCAAGATTCATGTATTTGAGAGGCAAAGTGATAGGGAGATACAAAGAGAGAAACTTTCCATCTGCAGATTGACCACTTCAGGGACCGCAACAGTCACAGCTGCATCAGGCCAAAATAATGAGCAACGCGCTCCATCTGGGAGACATTACCTCCTAACTCTCAGGGAGCTGGGGGCTGGATCTGAAGCAGAGCAGTCAGAACCAGAGGCAGCACTCAGCTACAGATGCAGGTGTCCTAGGGAGCAGCTTAGGACCCCAAGGCTGGCCTAAACCTAATCTGGGCGGAGGTCATAGAGTTTACTACAGATATGCCACTGTGGATGATGATAATATGCCAATCCAGGTGGAGGTTCTCGTTTTTCCTCTGAAATCACTTGGCTCCAAGAGTTTTGAAAAAAGGATTAATGGGTCTATAGTAATGACTTCATAGAATTTTTGTTTGAACTGAATGAAATATGTATAGCACTCGTGGTTAATAAATCTTGGTTTCCATCCTTAGCCAATCTTGCTCAACTCACTAAAGAAAAACCAACCAACGAAACAAACAAACAAGCCCTGCTGGGCCTGGTGTGGTAGCCTAGTGGTTAAAGTCCTCATCTCACACATGCTGGGACCCCGTATGGGGGCTGGTTCTAACCCTGGCAGCTCCACTTGCCATCCAGCTCCCTGCTGTGGCCTGGGAAAGCAGTCAAGGATGGCCCAAAGCGTTGGGACTTTGCATCCATGTGGGAGACCCAGAAGCTCCAGGCTCCTGGCTTTGGATCGGCTCAGCTCCGGCTGTTGCGACTGCTTGGGAAGTGAATCAACAGACAGAAGATCTTTCTCTTTGTCTCGCTTCCTCTCTGCATATGACTTTCCAATAAAAATAAAATAAATCTTAAAAAAAAAAAAAACCCTGCTGCTTTTACATGGAGGAAATTAAGGAGAATAGCACCGGTTTCATCTATCCTTAGTTCCTTCACAAATTATTTCTCAAGAATAAATGGTTCAATTGGAGGCCTTTGCAAATATTTTATGTGCCTTAAGTGTATATAGTGGGTGCAAAAGCAACAGGTTGTGGTTTAAGGATGCAAACAGAAGAAATGAGCACATTTAGACAAAAACATTTATTTTGCAAATAAACCAAGGAGTAGCTTGCTTGTTCAGTAAATTAACCACTACAATCAGCATTGTTGGGCATAATGGTGAGAATAAGAGCCATTTTGCAGCTTATGATCAGGGGCTGCTGTCTGCTTTTGATGGAGAAGGAGGTAGGATTCCTTGTGAGGCCTTTACCTCCATGTATACAAGGCAGGATGTATTAGTTTGGGAATCAAATTCTGGGTTCAAGCCCCATGCAATGATATTGGCTGAGTCTTAATTTTTCTTTTACATAAAATAAGAATAATGATGCCAACAAATCCATCCCACACAGTTTTTGCCAGTATCAAAAATGATAAAATAAGGGATCTTTTTAAAATGTCATAAGCCATATGCAAATGTGTTTCTGGGCACTTTTCTGGTTCACTAAACCAAATCATAATGAAACATATTGAAGATGAATTTGAATCCAAAAGCTACATTAAAATGCATCTTTTTTTTTTCCAATTTCTTTCCTTTATACAATTTGGGGAACTAAAATAAACATTGTCCTGCTCCCATAAAGTAGCTACAGGTAGCCAAGGAATCATCTTGGAAACAGAGACTACTAGAAATCCTGTTTCTCCCAAATAATAATTTAAAATTTTCTTATGATCCCTTTGAATTTTGCAAATGCTTATTTCCTCCTTTACTTAGACTCCAGAGAGCTTAAACCAAATCTGTCGTTCACCTCTGACAATTATGCAGAATCTATAGCATAGATTTAATAAACAGGTTTTACTTCATTCATGTATTTTTGAATCTTTGGATGTTTTTACATTTCTTGGCCTCTTTCTGTTTTTTTTTTAAATTATTTTTTAATAATCTTACTTAGTTGAGTAGGGTACAAAGGGTCAAGGGCTACAGGGTGAAAGTGGGTAATACCATTGTTTCCACGCTAATATAATCATTTTTTCTTGTATCTGAGGTTAGGGGAGTAACAAAGGGAAAAGCCCCACACAACCTCCCACCCATCCCAGATCCCCAATGGGAGGAGCACTCCGAGGGTCCTGCTCAAACAGTTTTGATAGTTCATCAGTTCTGGATTGCTGCCAATCTCACAGTTTCAATCGCAATGAAACCTATTCAGAGTCCACTTTTTGGTCTCTTTCTTATTCATCTGCTTTAATTCTGTTATATATAGTTCTGCAACTCGGATTTAAAAATTGGAAGATAGGGGCATTACAGGAAAATAATATAGCAAAACTTCAATGGGGGCCATTTGATGTTAATTACATCAGATGATGGAAGGTGAATACTTCAGATAATAACGATTTTGGTTCATAATTACGCAATTTGAAGGCAACATTAAGAGGGCAGGTGTTGTGGCAGCAGGTTGACTCATTTCTTGGGATGCCTGCACGCCTTAATGAAGCGCAGGTTGAAGCCTTAGCTGTTTCGTTTCCTGTCTTGCTTTTTGCTAACGTACTCTGAGAGGCAACAGATGAAGGCTCAAGTACTTCGGACTCTGTCAATCACATGGGAGACTCAGATGGAGTTTCTGGCTCTTCAACCTGGCTCAGTTCTGGCTGTTGCCAGCCTTTGGCAAATGAACCAGCACACTGAAGCACTTTCTCTCTCTGTCAGTGTTGCTCTGCTTTTCAAGTAGATGAAAATAAACGAAATATCTTTTGGAAGTGATAAGTATTTTCTTTAAACTTTATTTCAGAATAGTTTTAAATTTACAAAACAGAAATGATACAGTTGTAAAAGGGTTCCAATCTACCCAAAATTCAGTCTTCACTATATATTTTTGATTTATTTATTTAATTTTTTTATTGGAAAGATAGGTCAGATTTACAGAGAAAAGGAGAGTCAGAAAAATCTTCCATCAGCTGGTTCACTCTCTAAATGGCCACAACAGCCAGAGCTGAGCTGATCTGAAGTCAGTAATCAGGAGCCTCCTCTGGGTCTCCCACTTGGGAGCAGAGTTCCAAGACTTTGAGCCATCTTATGTTGTTTTCTAAGGCCATTAGCAGAGAGCTGGACGGGAAATGGAACAGCTGGGACACGAACTGGCATCTATATAGGATCCCAAGCCTTGAAAGGTGAGGATTTAGCCATTGAGCCATTGCACTGGGCCCAGGCTTTGGCTATTTTTAAACATATTAGTATATTTACTACAATCCATTAAAAAAACAGCAAAAAGAAAAAACTATTATTATATACCTAGACATATCTGTCAATAAATAATTAAGGCAACAATAATTAAAATAATATATAAGCAGGATTATCTACTGTGCTGATTTAAACTGAACATATAATGAAAACTTTAACTGTAGCTGATAAAAATTCTATATTTCTAAATAAGAATACAAGATAGATGGGAAATGAGCTCCAGAACTCACTTTGGCGATTTGAGATCACGGTGAATAATTTTATGGAGATGCAAATAATTCATTCCACTTGCGATTCCTGTGGACCAGTCTACTAGCAATCGAGGGGTGATCTTCCTGCCAGCGCGCAAAACCTCATAGAGTTGGCCATGAGCACAGTATTCCATGATGATACAATAACACGGGGCCTGAGTACAAACACCCCTTTCAAGAAGAGACAGACATGGATATAAACAAAAGCATACAAACACACAAGCATGCATTTTTATATTTTAAGAATATTTAATAGGCTTTCAAAAGACCAATTATCTATCCAAATTATTTTTAACATGGACACAGATCATGTTCTTTACTATCAAATTATTACTAAGATTTCCCTAAGTCAACAGGTTATGCACAAAATTTTCTGTTTTGTTCACTCCACACACCTAACTTGCTCTATCTGGTGATTTTCTGGATCCATTCCATTTTGGGACAAAGAACAAACCTTCCTGAAGGTTGTGTAGGCTGTAACATCCCAACTAAATGACACCCACTAAAGCTTTCAACCAGCTACCAAATCATCTCCTATCTCTGAGGTTGCTGGAAGGGATGAAAGAATTCAGAGATCATGCTTGAGTAATTGGTCATGTTAAGCTCCTCTGACAACAGCAGGTTATGAAGAAGTATAATTCAGTTGCATTTTCCCTGCCTTCGTGTGCTTGTCAAACGCCACAAAGTTATTTCTGCCACTCTCTGAGAGGCTACCCAGAATTCTCCTTTTGATTTTTTAACAAAACTTCTTCCTTCAAATTTCTGCCATTTGACTTCAAGGAAAGCTCAGGGGCACACAGCAGCTACAAACAACAAACAGATAATTTAATCATCATGGCAGAGAAATAATGGATGGGGAAGAAATAATGTAATGTGCCGAATATTATAAACATCTGTCTGATGATACTCAGCATCCTATTCTGCTATGTTTTACCTTGTCACGCAAACATGGAAAGGGTCTAACAGGGATACGTTACGTACTGTTCATCTCCCTTGACTGACAAATGAGAAGCAATCATTCCATCAGCCCTACAAGGTTGCCAGGCTTCTTAGCAGCTATAAATAACACTTTTATAATCACTTCTAATTGCTACCTTTTCTTCCCTTGGCACTGAATTCCATTAGGAACAGTCAGGTTGTTTTTTTTTTTTAAGAGTATTAAAAAAATTGAAAGGAAAAAAAGAACATAATATTATCTTATACTTCCCCTTATGTATTTGGGTCCTACTAACATCAAAAAAGCTGTAAGCACAGAGAAGGAGGGAGGGAGAGAGAGAGAGAGAGAGAGAGAGAGAGAGAGAGAGAGAGAAAGAAATGTATTAAAATCAAATCATGACATCCTGTTTTCCAGACAGGCCTGAATGTGATTCACTGGCCAAGCAACACATGGCACAGATGGCAGCAAACACAACACTATACATTGCCCCCAAGAACATGGTGTAATGGGCCAGGAACACAATCTCACCATTGTTTTCCATAAAGAGGTAAAGACTATTCAAGCATCCTCAGTAGAGACAGCTGGGCACTAGCAATGGCAAGACTTGACCAACCATGCTGAAAACTGCATGTGTAGGTTCGAGGGTCGGAAGAGCGGGTTGGGAAAAAAGATAGAGGAAAATGGAAGAAGCCAAAGAAACAAAGGAAAAAATAACTTTCTCGTGCTTTTGTTCTTTTACGATGCATTTCTACTTTCACCTGCATGGGGCATACTGCTAGAAAGCCCTCATTAGGGACACACAGCCTAGTTCACTTCTGGGCGGCTAAAGAGCCACGCTGAACTTCAAAGTGTTCTGTATCTCATTATTGTCTTAGTGATCTATGCTCAAAAGTCCTTGGCCTTCTGTCCCAATTAGGAGGGTACATTTTATCAGAACTGATAGCTGTCTTAGTGCAAAAGCATGCAGGTCTCCATTCATCTTCCTGCTTAAAACCTGCCTGTTATCTTTTGGAATTTATAGGCCTTGGAAAGACTGTAACTGATCTCTGTAGTATTTCATTTTAGTCACACATCCTTTTGGTTCTAATAGGGTACCACATGACAGAATTACCATGGCAACTGATACCGTCTCCCATGTTGTCTGCACTAAGGTGCCTTCTACAGGGAAATGAATCCAAACTTTTTAAAGTTTCTGTTAGATCCCAGTAGAACGTTTCTCTTTGTGTCATACATCTTTTTATTGCAGAAAGGATTTTGTTTGGGAATCAAACTTCAACCTTGGCATTGATCTAACCACCCCCCTCCCAATCCCCTGCCACCTATACAGATTTCTACTCCAACTGAGTTTATTATTTGAACATCTAAGAAGCTTTATGAGAGTTTTACAAAGGAAAGATCCTTCTTGAGACAGAGACAACTTACCTCTAGTTTAAGTAAGGGGAACTACAAGTTATTCTATTTTCACTGTGGTCTCATTGGTCACAATGTATCAAATATATCAAGAGTCTTTCCTTCTAAACTGGCATCTTATCTAAAAGCTACCTTTCCTGTTCATTACCTTTCTTCTGCCATTCATTTGTTCAAGTCTGTGGCAGTATTTCCAGAATGGCAGGGGAAGAAACTCAAGGGGAAAGTTCAAATGGAAGAGTACATGATACAGTTGAGCACTTCCAAGATTGGTGACTTCTATAAATTTATCTGTTTGACCCTTCTGTTTGGGAGCCCAGTTATTACGAAAACAATAATCTAGACATGAATGGAATGTTCACCTACTCTTGAAAACAACCACTCTATGAAAATAACTTATGACCTTCAGCACTAGATTTAGAAGGCTGAGTGGCATGTGCTATTGAGTGCTTTTGAAACATCTTTCAAAGCAGGTGCTTATATGTAATATGTTAGGAGAAAGAAAGAAACCATTTCTTTAAGAGCAACAATACAAAATGTTCACCTACTTGAATGCGATGATGTTAGGGTGCTTCAACTTCCTCAAATGCTTGATATCCGTCTCATTCTGTTCTCTCACTTTCTTGATGGCCACCTCCTCTGCTCGAAACTTGCCCAAGAAGACAGCTCCTTGGGCTCCACTACCCAGCCACTGTAGCTCTGAGATCTCCTCGAAGGGCACTTCCCAAGTATCTAGGCACACAAGCAAGAAACATGAAGAAATCTCAGTGCGGAGGAACTAGTCTATCAAGCCACTTGGAAGGCACCTGTCACTGTCCCCAAGAATGATCTCTGTTCTTTGTCTCTGGAGGCCTGTCTTTGGGCCCTGGTGCTCTTCATCATATATTCACATATATTCAACTGTACCAACTTTTTACCACCGAAATCAAGCAGTTCAGAAGTCTCTAACAAACTCTTCCAGAAAATACACATCCCTGACAGTTCTTCAGCCTCACCTGCACAGGTAAGCTTGTGGGTTCCAGCCTTATCTCACAATCCATTATAGGTACTACTTCTCCCCTCTTTGAATTTTTTAGTGCTCAATGATTCCTTGCTGAATAAATTTTCAGTAATACCTTCTTAAGGCTGAATTATACACACTTCTTATCATAGCATTTACCTCTTATTGAGTACTTACTATATACCAGACACTGGCATAGTGCTTTACGTGTTACGTGTTTAATCTTCACAACATTGCTAGTTGTCTGGCCTTCTTGTAGTTTCTTAAAGACAAGAAAACCAAGGAATAAGGTCATTAAGTAGGTTTCCCAGAGAAATATGGCCGGTAAGTGGCTAAGCTGAGTCAGAACCCCAGAATTACATGATTTCACCAACAGTGCTTTGTCTACTGTAGCACAGGGCTGCTCATAAAATAATTGAGAGGATCATTAGTCATGATACGTTTACACATATGCCATATACAGTGTCTTTACATTTCTACTTTCCTTAAAGGTTTTTTTGTTTGTTTGTTTTTGTGGGGTTTTTTGCACTACAATTTTAAAAGAAGTTGTTTTTAGGTGATGACATTGCTGCAGATTCATGTTGCATTTTATTTTCATGCATAAATTATTTTTCTTAATCACAAGACAACACCTCCTTTATAATGAGTAAAATGTTATTTAAAGTCAAACACTATAAAAATTCAATTAGTATGTGCTTTAATGAACTTTAAAAACAACAACAACAACAAATTGATATACTTCTTTGGTCCTTCTCCTTGTCTGCTTTTATGAGGGCACTGTTACAGGTAAGAAATGAATATCAAAGAGCTTGGAGTCCTGTGTGGGTAGCAAGGATGATAACACCACTAAAGGTTATGTGAGATTCTTGTCAGATTACTGAACCGCCTCTGTCTGCAGAACACAGAACAAAGCAGCACTGAGTTAGTGTTGAAGATACTCTGCTCATGAGATATTTTCTACAACACGGATGAAATAACAGCAGCAAATTCTTCACTATCTAGAAATATATGTCCCTACTTCCTATTTTTTTCTACTTCACGAGAAAATAAGTTTTATAGGGTTCTTAATAAAATGTAGTTTACTATTATAATAGCTAAAAATTGACCTTCAAAGTATAACTATTAGAATTCTTATATTCTCTTACTCTGCCTTTCAAATACATAAAACTAAGTAAGTTTTAAAAAATAGAAAAATATAAAAGAAAATGAAAGAAAAAAGAAGAAAGAGAAAAAAGGGGAAGGCATTGTGGTGCAGTGGGTTAAACTACCTTTGCGATGCCCACATCCTCCACCTGAGTGCCTGGGATATAGATGGCTTATGTAAAGCAATCTTCCTCAGCAGCGTTCCAGGAAACAACTGAACACAGCATTTTAAACCATATGCAGGGCTGAAAAAAGTATAGTTAGGGTTCTATGGCAAGATCATAATGGGGTAATATGTGTTTGAATAATTCTATGAAAGTCAAGTTACCCTAAGTCTTTTTTTTTATAATTTATTTTTATTGGAAAGGCAGATCTGCAGAGTGAAGGAGAGACAAAGATCTTCCATCTCCTCACTCTCCAGTTCACTATTGCAGTTCACTCTCCAAGTGGCTGCAATAGTCGGTGCTGAGCTGATCTGAAGTCAGGAGCCAGGAACCTCTCCAGGTCTCCCACACGGGTGCAGTGTCCCGAGGCTTTGGGCCGTCCTCCATTGCTTTCCCAGGCCCCAGGCAGAGAGCTGGATGGGAAGTGGAGCAGCCGAGGCACAAATCAGCACCCATATAGGATCCTGGTGTGTGCAAGCATTTAGCCACTAGGTCATCATGTCCGGCCCTCACCAAGCCCTCACCCTAAGTTTAACATAACAATTACTCAAATCAGGTTAATGTTTGGGTGAATTTCTCCCTACCTACTCAATCTTCATTTACTGTTGCATATTAGAAGTTTAGAAATGACATTAATAACCAGAAAAACATATTTTATCTGAAATTCCATCTCATACTCATCATCTTTTCTTCTAGTTTTTAGTAATGTTTACAGCTGTATAAAATTTGTATGGACTAAGAATAGGCAATCTTTTTTTGTTCCTACCAAGGGCCATTTTGGATGTTTATAACATCATTCATGGGCTCTATGAAATTATAAACTTACATACAAGAATCTGGTCTGGGAACACCTAGACAAAGTTTCTTTGAGGATCCCCCCAATCGAACTGCCAGACTCAGAACCCTGACCATGAAAAGACAGAGGATAGAACAAGTCAATCAACCACCTCAGCTCTATGTTGGCAGTGAAAAAATGGGCAAACGGAGACTCTATGAAGGACTATGTCAATCAGTGGATTCTTCAATGACCTCATCATGCTTGGAGTGGCGAGACTGGCAACAATTCATAACTGTTGAACTATCAAAACCACTTGGACCCTTGGAACATGCCCCACATTGAGGACCTGGTTTGGGTGGGAGACTGGGTGGGGCTTTTCCCTTAAGATGCCCCTTTACCTCAAATATATGGAGGAAACAATAGGGAAATAATAGTCTTACCCATTTTCCTGTAGCCCTTGAACCTTTTTACCCTAATTAACTATGTAAAGAAATTGTCAAAAATTTAATTTAAAAAATGGAAAAGGTTTTGGCCCTGTGGCATGGCCTAATGGCTAAAGTCCTCGCCTTGTACGCACCAGGATCCCATATGGGTGCTGGTTCTAATCCCAGCAGCTCCACTTCCCATCTAGCTCCCTGCTTGTGGCCTGGGAAAGCAGTCAAGGATGGCCCAAAGCCTTGGGACACTGAACCTGTGTGGGAGACTTGGAAGAAGTTCCTGGCTCCTGGCTTCAGATCGGCATAGCATCGGCCGTTGCGCTCACTTGGGGCGTGAATCATCGGAGGGAAGATCTTCCTCTCTATCTCTCCTGCTCTCTGTATATCGGACTTTGTAATAAAAATAAATAGAAAAAGAAAAACAAAGCTCTCTACATACTTCTTAGCTTCAGATCAAGAGGATAATTTTACAGACCTTTTTCCTTTAATTTTATTATTTTTAACATTATTTTAATGAAGGCATTTCAAAAAATTTGTGAGAAACTGAAATTAAGAGCTAAGTTTATTCTGGTGTAAAAAAAAATTTAAATCTATGCATACTGTTTCATAATATGGATTTGCCAAGAACTTTCTGAAAGTTCCTCACATAGTTGTAGATCATTTCCTTTGCCCTTTCTTCCATTGCCTAGTCTACCTGTTAAAGAGTTATCTCTAGGGCCCAGCATGGTAGCCTAGCAGCTAAAGTCTTTGCCTCGCACATGCCAGGATCCCATATGGATGCTGGCTCGATCTCGGGGGCCCTGCTTCCCATCCAGCTTCCTGCTTGTGGTCTGGGAAAGCAGTCAAGGACAGCCCAGAGTGTTGGGACTTTGCACCCCTGTAGAAGACCCAGAAGAAGCTCTTGGCACCTGGTTTTAGATCGGCTCAGCTCCGGCTATTGTGGCTGCTTGGAGAATGAATCAACAGATGGCAGATCTTCCTCTCTGTCTCTCCTCCTTTCTGTATATCTGACTTTCCAATAAAAATAAAATAAATCTTAAAAAAAGTTATCTCTAGCTGATTTTTACATCCATCTGGAGGTTAGCTGGAGGCATGGTGTGAGGACAGATATAAATTAACTTTTCTGATGATTCCAAATATTTTTTTCCAGTAATGCTTTCTTTTCATATTGTTTTATGGTGCTTATTTTGTAAAATTACTGTATTTTTTAGAAATAATCTCTTAGTATTTTCATAAAAATAAGAATTAATTTAAAAATACAAATGATAAATACATTTGGCGCTCAAACACCATGTGGTCCGGATATTAGTAACAATGAATAAAATTGTTGGAGCTTGTGCCATGGTATAGTAGTCTAAGCCTCTGCTTGCAACGCTGGCGTCCCATATGAGTTTTGGCTGCTCCATTTCCAAGCCAACTCTCTATTTACAGCCTGGGAAAGTAGTGGAGGATAGCCCATGTGTGACACCCAGAGGAGTTTCATGGCTCCAGGCTTCAGATCAGCCCGTCTCCAGCTGTTGTGGTCATTTGAGGAATAGATGGAAACTCTGTCATTCCTTCTCTCTGTAATTCTTTCAAATAAAAATAAAATAAATTCTTTTTTGAAAAGAAAAAAAAAAGAATAAAATCTTCCTCTGTGAACAGTAGCTCATGCCTGTGCTATTCAGCCAAGGAAAATGAAAGAGAGAGCTTTGACAGTTTAAGAACACAAAATGTAAAACAAAGAAAATAATGTTTCTACTCTGTCCCCATCAATCTCTTTACTAGAAGCTAATTGGCAGAAGTAAAACCAATTGGAGTGAATCTAGTCTTCTCTGTTTCATCTCAAATTCCCTGTCAGCGTCCAGTGGGGAGCCAACTAATTGGAAAAACAGCAGATGAAAGGAAGTAGGAATGAGGGTGTACAAAATTGCAGCCCAGATACAGACAGGGGAGATAATTAACCTCGTAATGAGAGAGAACTGGCCACGCTCTCTCCAGGGTGAGCCCTGGACTTTCTGCTGCTTTTATGCTTCTGTCCGCTGATACTCTGCGCTGCTTCTGTCTTCCCTCTGATTCATTACTATGACTACCGTCTTAATTCCAATACCCGCCATGATCCTTCGAACTGAGAAAAAGCCACACGTCCATCCACTTCCAGGCAGCAGTTCTCTTTTGTTGATTCTGACAGGACTATGACAATTACTTGCTTTGAGACTGGAAACTATTTGGCAATAAAAGATTTCAATTACACATACTCCCTCACTTGGACTTCATACCAAAGGGGGGATTAAGACATTATTAAACATTTTTTTGTAAATCAAATGAAATTTCTTATTAACTTTCAAATGTAGCCACAAATCTGTGAGACACAGGATTAAAGATCAGCTCCCTGGTCTCAGAGCTGATAAGGAAAACATCACATTTCTGGGTAGCAAATCTCTTTCCTGGACCGTAGCAACATCAGCTCTTCATGGTCTATTCTGCAATCTGCTAAAGAGTTAGACATCTGCTGTATTCTTCTAAAAGTCTTAAGCTGACTAGGCCTGTTTTTTACTTATCCCCAAAGCCACAAAATCAACTAGGAGACAAATTGAATACCAGTCTGTAGAATAATAAAACCATCGGAAAGGCTTATTTTTGATAGACATGTAGGATGTGTCTGTTGTCCTTCCTGGTAGCCAGAATTCCCAGCAATGCATTTGGATGCCAAGGTCTCCAAGTTAGCACCAAATTAAGTATGAGACTGGGCAAATGGGGACTCTAAAAACAGATGCAGTGTAACACATCAGCAAATATAATCAGTAGTTTCATGTCTAAGCAGAGAACATGGAACTTTTTAAAATGTAATAAATTAAGATCTGTGACTTGAAGCATAACAAGTTATTCTGATTTTCCTATTTGCATTATCTTTATTCTCAATTTAAAAAATAATAATAATACTGGTTTATATAGGAATCTTCAATCTTTATGGTAAGAGGGACAATTTTAGTTTCTTTGAAATCAGCAAGGACAATGAGGGTTGAATATACAGATTATTTAATTATGTATGAGAGAGACAGCAAGACACACACACACACACACACACACACACACACACACACACACACACACACACGGGCCTTGGACTTACAGCATTACAAGTAACAGAAATGGATGCTATGGCCAACCAAACCTCAAAAGCACCTGGAATTGATAGACCAGAAATTCCAGTAGGTTATGCAGAATGAGTATAAAGCAAGAAGGACGTTTTTGGTCTAAGTGTTTTGTTTTGTTTTTTAATTTTTTTTTGAGAAAGTGTTTTGGAAACAGGAAAATTGGAATGCATAACATGAATAGTTCATTGTGACTGATGTTGACTGACTGCTACGGAAAAGCTGTCCACAGTTTAGACTAAAAGGGATGAACACATTTTTAAGGAAGGGTTTGAAATTCAGGTTTTAATTGCAAGTTGATCTGTATTTATTCTTTCCAGAATATTTTGATGAGAGAAATAATAAAAACAAATTTTACATAAGGCTACAAAAACATACCTATCAAAAGTCTTCAAAGTAACAAGTCTTTTGAGCCCAACTATTCCTTTTCTAGGAATTATCTCAAGGTCTAATCAAAATACATGCAAAAGTAAAGAGATGAAGGTTCATTGTATTGTGGTTTATAATTAGGAAAAATGCAAACAAATTAAATGTCTAATAATAGGTGACAATTTAAATACTGGCACATTCACACAATCTAATATTGCATAGCCGTTAAAATCATAGAATTATAATTTTAGAATTACATTTAAGATTTGGAAAATGATCACATATATGAAGTGAAAAAGTGTTATGAAATAGTGTGACTCAATTATTTTAAAAGTATGCACACACAAACACACTTCTAACCAGACTAATATATCATAACAACATGAATGGCGGTTATTCTCAGGAAATAATCACAGACTATTTGAAGGGGGATATCTTCCAAGTTTCAAACATCAATTGCATTTATAATCAATAAACATTTTTTTTTTAAGAATACAAGTGAGGTCCCAGAAAAACACCAGAACCAGAGGCTGACACTGTGGTGCAGCATGGTAAGTTGCGGCTTGTGATGCTGGTCTCATATAGTGGATGGAGTGCAGTTCAAGTCTCAGCAGCTCCAAGTCTGATCCAGCTTTCTGTCCATGTGCCTGGGAAGGTAGCAGATGATGGCTCAAGCACTAGGGTACCTGCCACCATGTGGGAGACCTGGATAGAGTTCCTGGCTCCAGGCTTTGCCCTAGCACAGCCCTGGTTGGTGCAGCCATTTGGGAATGAATCACAGGATGGAAGATCTCTCTCTCCCTCTCTAGCTCTCTCTGGCTTTGTTTTTCCCTCCCTCTATTTTATTCTTTTAAATAAAAAAACACATAAAGCTTTTAAAGAAAAGAATATTGGGGTCATGTGTTCACTTTACTTCAGAACAATACTTGAATCATAATACATAAATCTATTTGTTTTTTTAAGAGATTAATTATTATTATTTTTTATTGGAAAGTCAGATATTCAGAAAGAAAGTGGCTGCAATGGCCAGACCTGAGCCAATCCAAAGCCAGGGATGCGGAGCCTTTTCTGGGTCTCCCACATGAACATGAATGCAGGGTCCCAAGGCTATGGGCTGTCCTCAGCTGCTTTCCCAGGCCACAATCAAGGTAAGTGGAGCAGCCAGGACCCACACGTGATCCCAGAGGATGCAAGCCAAGGATTAAGCCAGTAGGCCATTGTGCCAGGCCCAATGTGAGTTACTTTTTAAGAAGCTGTGGGCTGTAGAAATGGTATGTCTCAAGAATGGCTGGCTATTTTATTACCTCAAAATGTGAAATTTTTGGTGCTGGCATTAAGCCACTGCCTGTAGTTCTGGCATCCTAAATGGGAGCAGGTTTGTATCCCCGCGGTCCACTTCTGATTTGGCTCACTTAATGTAGGAAAGTGGCAAAGAATGGTCCAGGTGCTTGGGCCCCTTCACCCATGTGGGGGGTCAGGAAGAAATTCCTGGCTCAGCTTTTTTTTTTTTAAGATTTATTTATTTATATATATATATATTTTTTTAAGATTTATTTTTATTATTTTTTTATTGGAAAGGCGGATATACAGAGAGGAGAGACAGAGAGGAAGATCTTCCGTCTGATGATTCACTCCCCAAGTGAGCGCAACGGTCGATGCTATGCCGATCCGAAGCCAGGAGCCTCTTCCGGGTTTCCCACGCGGGTGCAGGGTCCCAAAGCTTTGGGCCGTCCTCGACTGCTTTCCCGGGCCACAGGCAGGGAGCTGGAAGGGAAGCGGGGCTGCCAGGATTAGAACCGGCACCCATATGGGATCCCGGGCGTGCAAGGCGAGGACCTTAACCACTTGCACCACCGCGCCGGGCCCGATTTATTTATTTATATTACAAAGTCAGATATACAGAGAGGAGGAGAGACAGAGAGGAAGATCTTCCATTCGATGATTCAATCCCCAAGTGACCGCAACGGCCAGTGCTGTGCTGATCCGAAGCCAGGAACCAGGAATGTCCTCCAGGTCTCCCACATGGGTACAGGGTCCCAAAGTCTTGGGCTGTCCTCAACTGCTTTCCCAGGCCACAAGCAGGGAGCTGGATGGGAAGTGGAGCTGCTGGGATTAGAACCAGCGCCCATATGGGATCCTGGTGCGTTCAAGGCGAGGACTTTAGCTGCTAGGCCATGGCGTCAGGCCCCCTGGCTCAGCTTTTGAGGAGCAAAGCAGTGCGTGGCAAACCTCCCCCTCCAAATAATCCCTTTCTCTTGCAACTTTCTGCAGCTGTGCCATTGCCATGTGGGCATTGCCATGTGGCCTCTGTTAGGTTTTGAATTAGACCAGTAGCCATCAGACTTATATGTTGATTGTAAATCAAATGAAACTTAAACATTACCCACATGATTTATTTATAAATTATATAACCACACAAATTAATTACAGCATCAAACATATCTGGAAAATGTAAAAAAGAAGTTTTAAATGCGGAGATAATACAAAGCTCTAATATTTTCTTAAAATTCCATGATTTTTTTTTAATGCCCTCTACTTTGGACATCACCAGACTAGATGATTACAAACGATGAGATCTGATCCCACCAAAAACGATTCATCGAATGTGAATCTGAGTCATTTAGAATGACATTTCTCTCGCCTACTTTTTTTTTGGGGGGGGGATATATTTATTTTTTTGAAAAACCTGGTGGTGGGGGCAGAAGTGGGGGAGAAGTCAGAGAGCTCTTATCTGCCAGTTCACTCCCCAAATGTTCACAATGGCTATGAATGGTTCAGGCCATGGCCAGGTAACTGGAGTTCCATTCAGGTCACCCACATGGGTTGCAGGCATGGGTTGCCTAGTGCTTGCAGACCCAAGCACTAGGGTCATCCTCCACTACCTTCCCAGGCACATAGGCAGGGAGCTCAATGGGAAGTGAGCAGAGCCATATCCTAAACTGGCTGTCCATTGGGGATGCTGACATTACAGGCAGCAGCCCAACCTGCTGTTGCACCACAATGCTGGCTCCTGGTCTACTTTTTCAACTTACCTATACAGGTCAAAGATCATCCAGTTAATTGTCATATAAGTCATGGCATAGTATGATCATACAAGAAATATCTTCCGAGCCCATCCTGTGGCTTACCTTGCTGTTGTAGTTTGTAATCAGTGGAATATGCCTTCCCGATGATATTCCACACAGGCCTCAAGCATCCAAACAGTCCTTCAAGAAACCCACCGCTGCCACTGCCTGACCGGCTAAACTGAATCTTGACATCTTCGGTTCCGCCTGTGCTCTCTCCGTCCACGGCATGGCCGTTCCCCTGAGACATAGCCACCTCTGGTTCATCTTGTTCCCTTAGCTGAAGAACACTGTTCTCAAATTGGTCCCTGGAATCCTCGCTTACGCTGGTCAATACTGTTGCAGTGATGGGGCTGTTTATGCTGTCCAGCAGCTCTGTCTGCACCACCCCTTTCTCCTGCTGGTCCTCTGGCAGCCTGGGCGAAGGGTGGTTTCCCATGGCTGTGAGTTCATCTTGTAGTCCGCTGAGGCTTTTCTGCTCACTCGAGGATTGGTATGGAGAAGAGGAGCAGCTCAGGCGCTCCTGAGGGCTGGCCATCGTGCCATGGGTGTGGCCAGGGTCCTGAGATGACACTCAGAGGAGGGACAGAACACAGTTCTGATGTAAGAGAGGGCTCCAAAACCTGGGAAGACAGGGGAAGACATGAGATCATCCTTTCTTAGGATGACTGCAACTACACTTCTGTTCATACAAGAAAGCATTAAAACAGCAAGGATTGGTTAAATTGTGATTTATTTCACATGATGGTATTCTGTGCAGCAATGAAAATTATGTTGCATGAGCATCTACTGGGACTGGTGTGATGGCTCAACTGGCCAATCATTCATTGCAAGCACTCGCATCTCACATGGGCACTGTGTGACCTGGCTACTCCACTTTTCATAGCTACCTATTTGTGGCCTGAAAGGACAGTGGAAGATGGCCTAAAGCCTTGGCATCCTGCACCTGTGTGGAAGACCTGGAAGAGGCTCCTGGCTCTTGGCTCCTGGCTTCAGACTGGCTCATCTCTGGCTGTTGTGGCCATTTGGGGAGTGAATCAACACATGAAAGACCTCTCCCTCTCTGTCTTTCCTTCTTTCTGTAAATATGCCTTTTAAATAAAAACAAATCTTTTAAAAGTACATTTATTAATATGACATTAATATTTGCAAAGTAGGTTATATCTATATATACCACACTAACTTAAAAATGTTTTAAAGACAAATGCACAAATGGGCCTGGCGCAATGGCGTAGTGGTTAAGGTCCTCGACTTGCACGCTCAGGATCCCATATGGGTGCCAGTTCGTATTCCAGATCCTCCGCTTCCCATCCAGCTCTCTGCTTGTGGCCTGGGAAAGCAGTTGAGGACGGCCCAAAAGCTTTGGGACTCTGCACCCGCGTGGGAGACCTGGAAGAGGCTCCTGGCTTCTTATTGGCTCAGCTCCAGCCGTTGCGGCTGCTTGGGGAATGAATCATTGAAAGGAAGATCTTCCTCTCTCTCTCCTCTCTGTATATCTGCCTTTCCAATAAAAAAAATTTTTTTAATTAAAAGAAAAGACAAATGAACATAAAGGAAAAGACTGGAAGGATACATGCAAAGGATTAATAATATTGAAACCATTAGGGGTTTAGATTAGAAGGAATTTATATGCTTATAATTTTCAGGGTATTACATGCATTTTATATTAACATCTGTTATACTTTCCATCAGAAAAAATATTTCTTTTTCCACAAGGGAAATGAAATTGTGATATGACGTATATATTTTTATCAGAAACCACATCTTGTGTGATCATAAGTTACTACTCATGTTTTCCCTTTGCTTTAAGGTTTTTATCAGGTTTCACTTTCTTTTTTCTTCTTCTTTTTTAAAATTTATTTATACACTTGAAAGAAAGAGTTAAAAAGAGAGGAAGAGACAGAGAGAGATTTCCCACTCAAAAAAATTCACTCCCCAAATGGGTGCATCAACCAGGCTCACCCAAGAATGGGCCAGGCTGAATCCAGGAGCCAGAAGCTTCTTCTGGGTCTCCCACATTGGTGCAGGGACCCAAGCACTTGGGACCATCTTCTGCTGCTTTCCCAGGTACTTTAGAAGAGTGCTGGATCAGAAGTGGAGTAACTGAGACTTGAAACAGCATCCAAATAGATTGCCAGAATTGCAGGCACAGCTTTAACCATTACGCCACAAATCACTTTCTAAGGCATTCATTAATTCATGTAGATAAACATCTTGTATATATTACAAGACAAACCCTTGAAATACAAAATTTATTTTTATCGCACTGCACCAAATCTGGGCACAACAACTAATCCCCAAGTGTTTAAAATTTGTTCCTTTTTTGAGTAAGAATTATTTATCTATGTTATTTGAAAGACATAGCAACAGACAGAAGATAATTCATCTACTGATTTATATCCCAAATGCTCTCAACAGCTGGGGTTAGGCAAGGCCAAAGCCAGAAGTCAGCAACTGCATGTGGTTGGCATGAATCCAGGTACCTGGGTTGTCATCTACTGCCACTCAGGCACATTAGTAGGAAGCCTGATTGGAAGCTGGAATTCAAATTAAGCACTCTGAAATGAGACATGGGCATCCCAAGGAGGGTTTAACCCATTGTATCACAACACTCAACCACACATTTGTTCATTGATTCTTGCTTGTCCATTACCGCTATTTTCTTGGGATCACCTAATCTCTGAAAACAAAACTTAATTCTAAATTAGGGACCATTTCATATGAAGTCAATCTTAAATTTATCCAAAGTGTGTTTATTAGACATTGATTTTCTTTGCAAATCCCTACATAATGATTTTTCCTTCTGTATTAAGAAACTAGAACATGCTAAAGTCTAATTATAAGGATGATCTCACTCTGCAAAGGGGGAAAAGGCAGATTAACAAAAGCTGACACTTCAGTGCTGTTAATGAATCTTGAGCAGTGAATTAGGGGTCTCCAGGGAAGAGAGACGGAGCAGATGAATTAGTACTGGGGAGAAGCAGATGGTTCTAAGAAAAGGAAGGCAAAAGTCTGAATATGGTGGACTCAAATGACAAGCTTAAACCTTTTTGATTTTATTCTCAAAATTATGGCTATTCATGCATTTTTAGCAAGGGAGTAATCTGACTAGATTTCAAGTTAAACTCACTTCTATACAAGTAGAGGTTAGATTGAAAGGGAAAGACTGAAGGTCCAATGAGAAGGTAGAGAGTCCAGTCCAACTGCCTCGGTTGCCTTGTACCCATGCAAGTGTTACACTACTGGGAGAAAAGCAGCCTATAGCTGGTAGGCATCTTCAGCCTGGTTAATGCCAACTCTGTGTTAACTATACCAGTGAGCCAGCATAACTGCCCATCTTTTTTTTAAAAAAAAGATATACTGGAGGGAAAGGATGGGCCCTACACCCCTGCCGCTAGGCCAGGAGTCAGCAGGTCCTACTGAAAGATGAACGTGGGGCTTGCACCAGTTGGGAGGCTATGGATTGCCTGGGGAAGGTGATTTGGATATGTGTGGGAGTAGGGGCCACTGAGGAAGTACTTTACAAGTGTGGAATGACTTCTGGCAGTTTCCATAGGGGCGGGACCACTGCATTTTCAGGTACGTGAGAGAGTTGAGACCAGGTGGTGCAGAGAGGGGGAAATGGAGGGCATGTCTGGATCAGACCAATGCACCTGCTCACATGGGAGACCTGGGCTGGGCTATGTAGCATTCCCTGCTGCCCACCCGCCACCTGTGAGGTTTCTTGAGGGACTCCATAACTAAATCTCTGGACTTAAACTTCAGCTAACAGGAAAATCACAAAACACGAGGTTTGACCTTGGAGTACAAATGGGCTTCTTCACCTACTCATACCCATGCAGTGGACAGCATGCCCACACATATGAAGGACATGACATCCAGCTCATCTAGGCCAGCAGAGGACATAGAGAGTCTCAACATAAAATGGAAAGCAGAACAGGTTGAATAACTCTCCTGGCCAAGCTCTGTAGCAAGTGTCTGGGTGTGTGCATGCAGTAAGGTGGACTTGGTCAGCCAATAGATTCTGCGAAGACTTTCTCAACCCTGGAGTAACAAAACTAAAACATTTGAAAAATATCAAAACCACTCAAGTAACACCCTCAGAATATTCTTCCCCACACTGGGGTCTCTAAGACAACACCAAGTAGTCATCCACCATCCCTGGGTGTTGATGTAGTTTGACAACAAGGAGCAGCAGGTCCCCTTTCCCACCCTACCACAAATACAGGAGTTTTAAGCAGAAAAAGATTGAAAACATGTGTTCCACCATCTTTCCTTCAAAACTTGACCTTTCCAACCCTAATCAGTGGCCCACATGAACATACATTCTTCTGAACCATATAAACTACATTAAAAGTTAAGTGAAATAAAATAAATTAAAAAGAGAGGCAGAACTGTAGGATCTGGAAATTGATGAGACATTGGAGGGTGGGGAAAAGAAAGATGAAAGAAGGAAGGAAGGAAGGAGGGAGGGAAGAAAGGAGGGGAGAAAAGAAGAAAGGAAGAAAGAAAAAAGAAGGAAAGAAAAAATGAAAGCAATAAATGTTTTCTAAGAAACTGTTAGTAAATGAGGTATGGGATATCAGTAGAAGGTTTGAGATGGAAATAATTAGCCCAGTTATGGATACACAGAATTTAAAGGCTGTTGTGCATCATGCACTGAGCTAGATTTATTTACTTATGTTATCTGATGTTCAAAAGATATTTTGTAGAGTGGCATTTAAAGGAGGTTAAAGATGGAGGCTCAAATATCTCAGGGGCAGGAGTTCCAAAATCACATACACTGAATTTAAGATGTCCCTTATGAAATATTATGGGAGCTGAGCCATGCACTGGGATAGGCTCTGTGGCCAGAAAACATTCTTGTCAGCCTTAATATTTTTTCAGCCTTACTATTTTTTTAAGGTTTATTTTTATTATTTATTTATTAGAAAGGCGGATATACAGAGAGGAGAGACAGAGAGGAAGATCTTCTGTCCGATGATTCACTCCCCAAGTGAGCGCAACAGCCGATACTATGCCAATCCGAAGCCAGGAGCCTCTTCTGGGTCTCCCACGCAGGTGCAGGGTCCCAAAGCTTTGGGCCGTCCTTGACTGCTTTCCCAGGCCACAGGCAGGGAGCTGGAAGGGAAGCGGGGCTGCCGGGATAGAACTGGCGCCCATATGGGATCCCGGGCGTGCAAGGCAAGGACCTTAACCACTTGTGCCACCGCGCCGGGCCCAGCCTTACTATTTTTAATGATAAATATGACAAAGTGTTTTTCAGTTAAAAGAGTCCTGATTATATAAGCAGGTAGACCGGTAAGTACTGGTACATCAGCTCTCCAAAACACAACAATCCAATTTGTAATGTCTGCTGATGTCCCAGGTATAAATATTCCCACCATAGCAGATTTCAAGCTAGCAATAGCTCATCAGCCTATTTACAAAGTTTCTAAATATTTGACAACAGCTTTTACTAGTTGGCATGTAAGCCAGTTTCAGCACTATGTTCTTTGTAATACTGCCACTGCCATTTTACAAGAGAAGTAAGACACTTTTCTAGGGTCCTGTATCGAGTAAGTGAAGAATAGCTCAAAATCCAGATTCCTAAATCCCACCCCCCCCTTTTTTTGAACAACTC